TGAGGACAAAAAGTTTTCTCTCCTTTGTTCCAAGGACACGTTGTCCTGACAAAAAAGAAATTAACTCTCCTCTCATTGTAAGGACACGTGTGCTCACTTTGGTGTCTCTCACTTAATATAATGCGATAACTTCCTTTGAGGACAGACCGATTTTCTCTCCAATGTTACAGGGACACTAAGCAGTCCTCACAAAAGAAGAACTCTCACGTGTCAATGAAAACGCCAAAAACGGTTCGTGATGGTCAAGGGGAGGTGATGAGGTTTGAAAATCAGCATGAGAGTTGTGCGTAATGCCTTTGGAAATGAGTGTCCTCAAATGACGGGTCTGTGTGTATAGTCCTCACTCGACGCCTGAAGTTAGCTAGAGAGAGAGAGAGAGAGAGAGAGAGAGAGAGAGAGAGAGAGGGGGGGGGCTTTTAGATCTGCGTCTTACCAACATTGTATCGGCCATACGGTGCCTTTCCAGATTTACTGGAGGAGGAAGAACTAGGGTGGCACTATATGCTTAATTTGCAGGCCAAAATGATATATGTAGCTGGAGTGCTTTCTCACATGGCAGAATTCAAACCCACAGCGGTGGGCGAGAGTTGCAGTAGTTGAAGTCAACGATTTAAACCACTTGGTTATGGATGATAATAGAAATGTTAAAGTAGTAATGTGTGATTAAGTAATGTAGATAGAGTGGAGCTAGTAAGTTCTAAATTATTATTCGATAATGAATGATATTCTTGTTATTAGTAGTTAATCATAACATTTATAGTATTACTATTGAAAATTAACTAAAGCTGTGACTATCCCTAAAGACTAATAAAAAGTGTCGGAACCAACAGGAAAAAATAAATCATTATATATTTCGATGATTTCATGCATTGTAACATCCTCATAGCCTAGTGGTTAGTACGACGGCATTGCAATCGCAAAGTTGCAAGTCCAAATCCTCGATTTATTTTTTTTCTATTCCTTCTACTATTTCTACATTATTGAACAAATCATGACATTATTTCCCAGCGTCTTCTTTAATTTTATACCCTTGACATTTACATAGATCTACAAATGTAAATTTTCGTAATTTTAATACGCAATGTCTTACAATTGTTGGCAAGGCATGCACTAAACATAGAAGTCAAGTTTATATATTAAATTACCAAGTTGAGTTACCAACGTACCCGATCTAAAGTTGAACTATTACAAACGATTTAGGTATATATGTGGATTTTCAGTGCGAAACTTTGATCAACATGCAAGTAATAATAAATTCATGAAAGAAATATAATAAAATAACTCATGTGTATGTATCTACAGAACAAACATCATTTATATAGTTGTATATTTCTTGTCAAGTCATTATTGTATGTGGGTAATTCAACAATGCAGTTTTATTTGCGATGGCCTGACTTGACAAAATACCCTGTATAAGACTATTTTAGGCTTTTACCCTAAGTGTGACCTTGGCCTTTGAGGTAGGGATCTGGGTGTTGCACATTACATGTCGTCTTGTTATTGTAAACATTTGTGCGAAGTTATTTCAAAATTCCTTGATTGATGAAAAAGTAATATGCCGCTTTCCCTCAATATGATCTATCCACCTATGAAGTTTCAAGTCAAAATACCTCTCATACGTTTTGAGATAAGATCCGGACAAAAAGTAAGAATTATTATTCTTGTGCAAAGCATTCCTACTCAATAAGATAAATCCACCTATGAAGTTTCATGCTGACATCTTAAAGACATTTTGAGATATGGTACACTCAGGTGAAACATTAAGTTTTAAAAATAACACAGGGCAAATTTAGAAGGACAAAGTTATCATTCTTGTGCACTGCACATATCCTGAGTGAGATATATCAACCTATGATGTTTCCTGTTGACATCTCAAAGACTTTTTGAGTTATGCTCCACTCAGGTGAATAATTAAGAATGAACAATAACAAAGAGCAATAACTAAAAAATTATGAAGGGTAAGGTTATCATGTACACGTGCTGAGTGAGATCAACTTACCTAAAAAGTTTCAAGTTGATGTATCAAAAACTTTTTGACATAATAAAAAGAAAAAAACTTACTTTAATTCATTCAAATTGCCAATCACCAAATATTCATTTTTACAATCTGAAAAATACAATTCCTTCCACATGCAAAACTGCTCTTGATGGCATTTGGGCATATTTAAGTATTCTACGAGCAATAACTGCCTAATGTCATATGAAAACTTGAAAAACAATGGCAGCCATCAGCCCGAAGAATAAGTAAACAATCCAGCGTTCGTTAGGCAGCCTTTCAACAATTCCATGTTTCTAATTACCTAACCGCTTTTTGAAGGCTTACACATCTTTTAACACTTAGTTACTGTCTGTAACAAATCCCAAATAAGTTTTCGTTCTTCTAAAAAGATATATGACGAACAAATCCAAATGATATCCATTTTAATCAAATACAATTATTTTTCTTCCGTGAAATACAAAACCAACATTTAAAAATGGCGGCCGCTTTATTTCATCAATCTAGGTCTAATATAAATTTGCAATAAGTAACGGACATAAGGTCGGATGGTGTGACGTTTTGATCTACTAGATTTGTTTGTTTATATTATTAAAACAAATGATCATTCATATAATAACAAGCAATTATCGTAGTATTGCAAGCAATGCATAAGTCCCCTACCGGTTAGAACCCCATCAACATTCTGAAGGGCCATTCATTAATGTTTCAATTTTTCTCTATTTTAAGTAAATTTGTTGGAAAAGTTCTTTAAAAGTGATCACAGGAAACAGTTTATATGAACAGACAGACAGACGGACTGAAGGACACTCTAAAGTTAGTATTTGAAACATCCCTGTTTCCAAAATATAACATTTTAAAAGCAAAATTCTTACACAGGAGATTACTCTTGAATTAAAGATGCAATTTCATAAACATTTTCAGCTCTTTTTGACTAATCACAAATATTTTTTTGCCATGTTTTCAGCCTATTTGTTGCCAAGGCAACTGATATGTTTTCAAAATAAGAAGAATGTGAGATAAGACATGCATAATTTCAAGACTGCCATCTACCAATATGTCAAGTTTCATAAAAATATTTCCAGTACTTTTTGAGTTATCACTGGATTCAGTTTATGTGTAAAATTTGCCATATTTTCAGTCTATGTGTTGCCATAGCAACCAGAATTTTCAACATAGGAAGAAAAGAAAAAGACGTGCATAATCTCAAGACTGCCATCTACCCATATGTCAAGTTTCATAAAAATATTTCCAGTACTTTTTGTATTATCACTGGATCCAGTTTATGTGTAAAATTTGCCATATTTTCAGCCTATTTGTTGCCATAGCAACCAGAATTTTCAACGTAGGAAGAAAAGAAAAAGACGTGCATAATCTCAAGACTGCCATCTACCCATATGTCAAGTTTCATAAAAATATTCTCAGTACTTTTTGCGTTATCACTGGATCCAGTTTATGCCGTCCGTCTGTCCGCACTACCGAAAAGGGATAGAGGGCCATCTTACTGTAAACAGAACATAGAAAAGAGAAAAACGTGCATAATCTCAAGACTGCCATCTACCCATATGTCAAGTTTCATAACAATATTTCCAGTACTTATTGCGTTATCACTGGATCCAGTTTATGTGTAAAATTTGCCATATTTCCAGCCTATTTGTTGCCATAGCAACCAGAATTTTCAGCATTGGAAGAAAAGAAAAAAACGTGCATAATGCCCATACTGCCATCTATCCATATACCAAGTTTCATTAAAATATTTTCAGTACTTTTCAAGTTATCGCGGGATCCAGTTTTGTGGACTGACGGACTGACAGACGGACGGACAGACAGACGGACGAACGGACAGACGGACGGAGGGTAAACCTAAAGTCCCCTCCGGTTAACTGGTAGGGGACTAATAAAATGAATAATATCACCGGCATTTAAAGTTGATTAGCGAACTTAGTTTTCAACCAGACTTCTTGTATTTTATAAGAAATTCGACTTATACAGGCTACCAGTGGGGAAAACAGATTTTAATAGTTAAATAAACATTAAGGAAATTTCGATTTAACTTGTTTAAATTAAGCATAAAATAAAAAGAAAATATGGTTTTTTGTTGTGTAAAATGAAATTTTATTTCATCTCGTGAACTTTAAATGACGGTATTCTCACTCGTGGCTAAGACACTCGTGAGAATACTGTTTTTAAAGCTCAGTTGATGAAATAAAATTTCAACTTACACAAAAACAAACAAATATTTCATATAAATAATTATTTAGACACTCAAACTTAATGAGCATCACATGATTTATATTTAAATATGAAGATGACTGAATTAGTCAATATTAAACGCGTGTGTTATTAATATTACGTATTCTGATATAGTTATTGTCCTTAACCATCATTTTAGGGATTATTTCAAAATACATACTGACTGAATAATGATAGGTCAAGACATCAATCAGACGACACCGAACTTTTGTATATACAGGTCAGGTGAAATAAGTTAACGCAAGAAGCTCTAAAGGTGGTTTAATTAAATTATTATACTACATGATATACATAAAAAAGCAAACAGAATAAATTGTACCTTTTCAGAACTCATGGCTGCCTTTATGTCCCGCTCAGTTAATTTCCAAGATTCACCAATCTTTTTTTTAAACCAGGATAACTTGTTTGGCATCAGCTTCTCTATGCTCTCATTGTTACTTTTACACTTGAAACACAAGCATTTTATATTTTTTATAAAAGTGCTTTCTAACTCTAGAGCAAACTTGACCTGCAATATATTTCAAACATTGTTTAGCGAATCTGAAAAAGATTTACTTAGCATTTAGTTTTCATCTCATCATAGAATAAACTGAAACTTGCTTTTCAAATGATATGGTTTATAACATGTCGAGTGTGCAAAGCGTTCATTTTTACTTTGAAACCGAAGATCTATTCTTAAGTCATTGCCGTAGGAAAAGCAACCAAATAATTGTTTCAGGAATCTGGCACCACGAGTCATATATATCTAACATCGCTGAATGGCTCGATACGGCCTTTGGCATTAATTAATAATATCCCGATGAACGGCATATTAACTAAATAAGCAAAGTTTTAACAATAAAACCCTAAATTTGAATGTAAATATTAACGACATTTCTTAAAGTTTAGCAGTCCATCATCACTTTCCTCATGCAATCAATCGTTGCAATTTTTATCCAGTTTTATTCTAAATTAAACGATTTCTTTTCAAGTAATAAAAAGTAAGTTTACTTTTGTTTTATTTTGTCTTTTTAATTCAAAGAGGAAAATCTCCATAACAGAGCCCAAATGTTTACATGTTGTATTTTCTAAACGGTTCGCGAGATCTCGAGCATTTTCACAGTGTTGTGGCGGACAAAATACGTATTTACTGCTGTTTTGCAGAAAAAATGTCAAAGAAATTTGCTATATTTTAATTTTAAACGATGTATTTCGCGATGAAGTAAAGCGGCATTAAACGTTTGCTTATTTGTAAGCTTTGGAAACTGGTATGATGTCTTTTAAACATTATTAACAAAATATAAAAAAGCAGCTGATTAAAATTTGGAAGCCAGAACTGCCTTTTAATAGGAAAAATACAATTTAAAAAAAATCTGCAAAACAGCGAACTTGTTTCTACAGGTATAGAACATGAGGTAAAGAATTTTCCAAAATTGGATAGATGGAAAAATTCTGAATTTCTTGACAATGGAATGGCTTTTACACATATGCAAGACTGTAACAGTGTTCTACGCAGGCTTTACGCTGGATTTACGATAAAAGTGTGTTACATCAAGGTGAGAAAGTAAAAATGGATCAAGAAGCATTAAGCTGATGCATATGAATTTCTTATGTTTTTATAATAATCAAAAACTCCACAGAGATTTCTTACAATACTCGTCTGCCTCGAAGCCGAATAATCCATGTCTCTATATGGGTCACTCGTACCTATTAATTACACGTTTGACGCATAGTGATCCGCGCTATAAACGTTTTAATTAAAGTCTCCATGTACTGTGCTATGCATCTCATAGTCTTACCTATCTGCTTTAAGCTCAGTTTCGATTAGTGTGAACAATTATTATTGCCTATAATCAGCTAAATTTGTGTCTTTTAGAGAGTTATAGGAACAGGCTCCTGCAACATTTTCAGTTTTGCCGTGTTGGACTTTCTTTAGGGATTCTTATGTTCTCTATTTTAATGACAAAGTAGCATCTAGATATAAATGAAAACACTGAACAATCTTCAGGGTTAAAGAAATTAACGTCCCTGATTGATTGTACTTGCTTGGTGTGATGACTTTTAACGGTCTCCAAAAGGCACTTAAAAGAGGTAGGTGTGCAACAAAAAGGTAATACATCTATAAATAGGACAATTATGGAAATAATGAAACATAGTTGTATAGGAAATACTTTATTTTGTATGTAGATTTGGCTCAATAAATTAACAAAAGTGATATAGATATTGTACATGAGGAAAATCATGACCCGGTCGATATATTAATATTAATATTTTTCATTTCTTTGGAGTAATTGCATCATTTTTTTAATTTTTTTTGTCCTTTTCCTAATTTGATGGTATTTATGATTTCACCCTTGATCACGGCAGTGATCGCACATTTTATTCGCCAGAGCACATTCCAGCCGCCACCGCACGCTGCACAGTACCAAAGCAAGCTGTCAAACAGTTAAACATCACTAGATGCCTTCTCTTTCATAAAAACAGTGGATATTCCTTGTTCAACAATCCGGAATTATTTGAATAGATTGTTTGTAAAAGGACCATCTGTTGATCATTGCTGCACAATATTAACTAAAAACAATTTAAGCCAGGCTTTTGCCTTGCCTTGTTGATCATTCTCGTCTGTTTTGTAAAGGATGAGCTATTGAAAATTCCTGTTGAGTTTCATCAAAACTGGATGAAATCGCTGAATTTACGATAAAAGTGTTTTTCATAAAGGTAAGAAAGTAAAAATAGATCAAGAAGCATTAAGCTGATGCACATGAATGTCTTATATTTTTATGATAATCAAAAACTCCACAGAGATTTCTTACAATACTCGTCTGCCTCGAAGCCGAATAATCCTTTTCTCTACATGGGTCACTCGTACCTATTGATTACACGTTTGACGCAAAGTGATCCGCGCTATAAACATGTTAATTTAAGTCTCCATGTGCTATGCATCTCATAGTCTTACCTATCTGCTTTAAGCTCAGTTTCGATTAGTGTGAACAATTATTAATGCCTCTAATCAACTAAATTTGTGTCCATTAGAGAGTTATAGGAACAGGCTTCTGCAACATTTTCAGTTTTGCCGTGTTGGACTTTCTTTAGGGATTCTTATTTAGAATTGAGCAGAATTCAACATTTAACACGAATATGGTGACATTTGGAATTAAGAAACATCCGCAGATGTGTTCATAAAGCGGTTTCATGGAACTTTCAATGTTGCCCTAAACGAGAAAACATTAGGCTGAACTAAGTAAAATTGAATTTTGAAAGAGGATCTGAGGTTATGAAGCTTGCATATCGCAAGACAAATTTAAAAAGCAGGCAACATATCCTAAGGATGATCATACAGTATTCAAGTAGGAATACTGGGACCACCCAAGTTGAAAATGGCCGAATAGTAGAAACAAAAACTTATCAAATGTTTGAGGATACGTCGTTTAAAGGACTTCATATTCTAGCTTCTGTAGCCATCTGGTTAGTGAAGCGGATCATCTGAGCATGCTAGTGAAGGACCATTGCTATATAGTCAATTTCAATCTTAAAAGTCTTCCTTATATGTACATTATACAGAGATTAATAACAAGACATGGAACAGTAAATACATCATAAAATAAGTAAATACCTGGAACAAAGGTTTAAGCATGAGGAACAAGTAGTAAACCAAAGGAAGAACCGCCTTACTTGCACCATACCTTATATACACTAAAATATTCCGTTTTTGAAGTCTTTTCACTGATTTTCTTGACGTGTCGCGATAGAAAATAAATTTTCGACCTTTGTACATCAATTGACGTAGTTTTGAACCGATAATCTTTAACTTTGTGCAATTTGCAGATCAAATCTTATATCTTTTTTTCCAATAATATTAATTTTGATTGTGCAAAATTACCGAAAATGTAAACAATTAGAAATATATTTTCATTTTTTATTTTCTCTAAAGTTATATATATACATATAAACGTACTTTTTTGCATTTTAATGAAGTAATTAAGTATGTTTTTGTTTGTTGTTTGGGGTGCCGAGCTTAAATTGAAATAATGAAAATATATATTAATGAAAGTTTAAAGACTCTATCAGCTAAATTTAACGCGTAAATTATAACATTTTGTATAAAAGAAAGAATTCCGGTATAAAGAACATACTTTTATACATGTGTAAATAATTAACATCGCCCTGAATGAACTTTCAATATGAAAGTTGAAGCACTTTGGAAGGATTTCGAACATGCTAGACAGCAATGACACTTAACCTGTTGTAAAGTGTTTAAGTTCAGTTTTCACTGTGTCATGTTGTACTATGATGCTTTTCTGTTCTTGTTTGTGTTGGTGAATGACTTATGCATATCTAGATTAAAGTCACAAGAAATCAATATATCATCAATATAATTATGAAATGCGTACTCATTTATACTAAATGTATTAGTACTAAATTTGTACTAAAGTATTTTAAATACCTTCTAAGATACCCTTTGAAATGTGCCAGAAGGGATTTTCTGTCTCGGAGAGGAAGTTCTATTCATTTACTCTCGATCTCCTCTGAATTTCTATTTCTGCTCTACTTGAACCGGAATGTGGTATTAAAATAGATGAAAACTCCTCTATGGTTATTTCAACGACAAGCTAATCCTTGAGAATACCATATACTCTAATGAGAGAGAGGGCATTATTTATCGCAAGAAACAAGGTTTCATTTGTTTGGGCAATTTGAAACACCACATCAGCATTTGCGATCAAAGTATCATAATCTCACTGAACACATCGGCTCAAAGTTTTGTTCCTACTTCTGGCAATGAATGAGCTCAACAATCATTTATTACTTATGAACCTGCTTAACAATAAGAATCTGACGTTGTCCACTTTGTTATAATCTGGTCGGAGTCCAAGGTCGGCCATTTTGAAACCGCCACAGTTTACATGATAACTGAGAAGTGCCATTGATGTTTTAATGGTACCTTTTATTTTTGTGTCATACTTTACCCTTATTTACAAAGTTTAAAACTAGCGAACCCACTAGCAGAGGTTGACACATTCAACATATCATTACTCATAGGAGCGGATAAAATTGGGAGATTAAAGGAGACCGTATGATACGGGGAGACGGCCCGACAGCTTTCCAGTTAAAGATTGGATTTTTACTGTCCGGACCACTTCTGGGCACGTCATCAAATTCAGCTACGAACTACATTATGAACATTATAAGATCTGCAGCAGATGACGATGATTATCGTGAGCGATTCTGGAAACTAGAATCAATCGGCATTTTACCTGCAGCGGAGGCAAAAGCTTCTGACTCCTTGCATAATGTTCAGAAGAACTGCTTTACCTTTGAAAATGGTCAGTATATGGCCATAGAAACGAAACCCGATCACTCTAATTTACCCGAAAACTATAGCATCATATTGAGAAGAACTCAGAACACCTTACGACGACAACGTTGAATCCTTTTTGCTAGAAAAGTACGAAGATATAATGAAATACCAGAAAAAGGGCCTTTATTATAGCGAAAGTGAATTATTTATAAAGTTAGCTCACTATATCAGACATCACGGAGTTAAGAAACATTTGGTCAACACCGCTGACTGTAGTTGTCTTCATAACAAATTTTCAGCCAGTCTTAATGATTGCATTGAAACAACCCTCCTAAGATCAATTTAAGAAACACAGATATGCCGTCTGCAAAGATATTAGAAAAGCTCCTCCTCAAATACAGATCAACGAATCACACAATTTCTGTGACTGAACGACATTTATGATCCACATAGTGACCACCTTACGACATACAGATTCAAGTCCGTGCTTTTCGGTGCCACATGTTCACCATTTATACTTCTTCATGCCACTATAACTAAGCACTTGAGTGCTAAAAATCAAAACTGCGTGAGTGCAATACTTAGGAAACATGATAAACAATATCAACAAGGAAAGGCGTCGTTCAATGAACAAAAACAGGACAGGGAACAAGACTTGTTTGTTTATAACGTGATGCTTAGTTTTTCTAACGAGAGTTCCTTACTTGGCTACTTCTAGAGCTCACAGAAATTGATGACATCTGCTGCTTTTAACTTGCGAGCATGGAGCTGGAACTACAGTTCAATGCGCAGCCTGGCAGAGGCATACGAAGTAGCCAAAACTGATGAAATAACTACATCTTTGGAATAAAATGGGACCCGACATCACACCAGATGTTCCTAGCAAGAAAGACAATATATACGGCCAAATTGTTAACAAAACATGTCATACTCAAAGGAACATAGAAGATTTACGAGCCCCTTAGCTTCCTAACCCAATTTACTATTCGTCGAAAAATCCTACTTCAAGATATTTGGCAGAAAACGTTCGATTGGGACACGTCCCTAAGAGATGACAAACAGACACAATATTAACTTTGCTAAAGACTTAATCATTGTGACCCCAATCCGAGGCCCACATGGAAGATCGGGAAACTGAATGTGTAAGCCTCGTTAAATAAAGTCGTTACTTACTTACTTACTTACTACTTACTTACTATACCCTGGAGGTTATTGTAAGCAATCTAACTCTATGGTATTTACTTCTGGTACAGGCGACAATGCTGCTTGTTTGGTGTCCCCCTGGGCTCCTTGCCACTGGCTCTTGTTACTGGGTTGGGTGAGGGTTGCGTTCATTGAATGCAGTCATTTTTTGTTTATCTTGTTTATCATATTTTGCGCATGCTTAGCAATTCATTTTCATGGTTTTGTAACACCAATCTTAAGGCCTATGGAGCAGTGATATACATTGCACTTGGTGACCAGTCTGTACGTGTAATGTCAAGGACACGTGCCGCAAATATGAAGCTTTTGCAATAATCAAGACTTTACTTATGGCTGCAATGATTGGTTTAAGACTTCTTCGGGACCTATTACAGACGATATTTACAGCATCTTTAACTTGTGTGTTGTCTGATAATCAAATTGTTGAAAATATTTGATAAGAATAGAGTAGCTGAAATACACCATCTTTCAGAGAAAAGGAGATGGGTGTACTGTCTGATCGAGCACAATCCGGCTGACATTTTGACAAAAAAAGTAACAGCTACCGAATTTCTAAATCGCACAGAAAGAACCCGATTTGTTGAAAGGTGAAAGTCGGTACTTAAGCCAAGCTGCTGTTGAAACAATTGTGTAACTAGCAGATACAGAGAGACAAGTTGATACATTTGTTACCATGTCAACCTCAGCTATTCACAATGTCATTGATGTCAATAGATATAGCCGTTATAGAAAGCATCTTAGAGTGACAGCCTTCATGATGAGATTAGGTCAAAATTCCCGAACTGCGAAAACTTACAATAAAACGTCAACTTTGGCGTAAACTGTTGAGATTCCATATTTTCCAAGCAACCACCTATAGAGCTATAGTTTCATGTTTAAAGTACGGAAGGAGAAACCTAACACTTCGATTATTCCTTGACAATAATGGCTACATTCGCTGTAGTGTAGAATTTTATAACGGCACTCTTGCTGAGCAAATCCGATTCCGACGAAACTTATTGACGCCCATGAAAGTCCATGACACTTACACGTAGGCATGAATGCGCTTATTAACCATATACGCAAAATATACTGGATACTGCCGGTGCATTCAAAAAATACCCAGAAGGCGAAACCAGTGCAGACGAGTATCAGGAAGACCGTACACAGCGACAGATTCATCACCTTTACAAAAGATATGAGTTTAAGATATACAACCTTTTACTGTGACTGAAGTTGATTTCACAGGAGCTTTACATGTACATGTAAGCGGAAAAATAAAAAAAATGAGAGGGCATACATTTGTCTTTTACTTGTGCTTCGTCTAGAAGTTATTTCAGTTATGACTAAATCTTCATTTATACAAGCGTTTCAGTCGTTCCATAGGTTATGATAAGATAATTTATCTGGAAGCAGCAAATACAATACACCAAACACCAATTAATGAAATCTACTTCCGTAACATGCCTGTTTCACAATCATGGTACAAAGAAGAAATGTATACCAAAGTGCGTTTAACAACTATGCCTTACAACGAGGGTGTATCTGAACCAAAACCGTTGTCAAAAGATCACCAAACAAGCAAGGATAAAGGCACAGGTCACCGTGTCCTGAATAGTTGGCACCACGAGTATATGATGTCATTATGCTAGTATCTTAAAACTACGGGAACCAATGTCCAGACGATTTAAGTCGGCGACGTAGTACTTATTCATAGTGAGACCGAAACATTACAGTGGAAATTAGGAAATATTGAATAACTGGCAAAGATGGATTGACACGAGTAGCGATGGTTCGCACCGGTAACGGGCACACTTCACATTGAGACCAATTGTTCCCCTTTGAAAATGTTGAACAGTTATCATATTTTGCGTCTGGGACGACTTTACGTTAGCGGGACCGGCAAGCAGACATGTGGGCGAGAAGAAGTGATATACGACTCATTTCCTTTTTGTTGTTAGTTTTCCCGTTCATGAACATTTATAATTTTTGAAATAACGCAAAGCATTTGCTTCATTATTCACTTATCACTTAACAGAATATAATTATATTAAATTGGCAATTAAATACTCGAAAAGAATATTACTCATTCACAAAATTTATACGTATGTTGTTAAACATGCTTTAATAATTATTTATGAGTATTCAAATTAAATACCTGCATTTGCTTTTTAGCAAGATCAGCCTTTTTTTGGAATTCATGTATATTATCTACTGCTAAACCAACCTGTAGATATAATGGAATACCTTAAAATAATGTAAAATATGAAAAATTTATATTCTGTTTAAATACAAACTAGTTTTGCTTTCAAAATAAATAAAATCTTAAGTAACTTCTACATCGACGGGCAATAAAACTGAGATAATGTATTGAAATGTTTAATACTGTATATATAGTTACGACGTGCATAAGTGTCATATATAGATATTTGCATGATTTAAAACTTACAGAATCAATAAAATCGATATTGTGATATACAATTATATTCTTATTATCAACATTAATTAGGAAAACAAGGATAACAATAATAAAACCAAGGCAAACTTTTCTTATCTCAAAAGAACAAAATGATTTGTTTATCAAAAGATATCTTCAATATATTTTAAGGTTGTGGTGTTGTGTGTTGGGGGGGGGGGGGTAGTTAATAAAATGTTTATTGAGTTTAGGTAGCTGAGGGTATAAATGAAAATAACGATTAGATAAAGTAATATAAATTTACCAGTAAGTTGATGACTACAATAGCCATAAACAACATGAAGATGACGAGGAACACATTACTCATTATTTCATAAAGAACAGTATCGTCTAGAAACGTTGAAACAAAGTCCGGACCACCAATCATCATTGAGGTTGTTCTCAGTGATGTCCAAATTGTACTAAACGGTTCCTAGAAATCATATAGATAACATGAAATACAGGCCAATTTAACATCATGATTTGATGACGTCATGAATGTACGGTAATAGGACCAGTGCGTTTTCTCTGAGAACGAAAAGCGCGAATGATGACAGTAAGATGAGGACAGTACGACAGAACTTTAGTGATAATATGACGGTACTATGGAGAAACACGACAAGACGATGATGATAGACCATTTCGCTGTCGTATTTTCACCTGAGTACTGTCACCATCATACTGTCGTACTGTCACAATCGTACTATGGTACTAACACCATGGTACTGTGGTATTATCACCATTGTACTGTGACAGTCGCCTTCCTGTTGAGCATATGCAAACATTTCATTCACTATAGCTTGCGACCATATACAGGCGTTTTATATAAAACATATTTACCCTATCAAAGATCAACTATCAAGTAATGATAAAAATGTACACCTTTGTCTTCATAATTTGTATTTCAATGGATAGGCAAAATCTCGAAATTTTAAATTTTAATGAAAATGTAGTTATTTCTTAAAAATGATTTTGGCTATTATTTACAAACTTAAAATAAAATGAATTGAATCAACAATAGATGATATGTAAGGTATCTAAAATCTAACTATCTAAGTTTTTCTATCATGATATATACACGAATTAGGAGAGCTTATTTAACATCAGTATTCATAAATGCAAATCAAATACGTAGGAATTGATTCAAAATCATTGCAATTTTGAACATTTACAGGTCTTTTTTATATTCAAGATTGTACGTGTTGTTTGCTGTTTAGAATAAATAATTTCTATCTAAATTAAAGATTGTATTCAATAAAATATTTATTTGAACTGATTGTTTAACTTCATCTTACCTGATTATGAAACAAGCAGTGGAACGATATAGCAAAGGCAACAATCAGGAGTGAAAATACAAGGAGAAACTTCATAAACACTTTGATGATCCGGTACAACATAACTACATATATACCTAACCATTCGAATTTCTGAATGATAAATAACATATTGATCCAAGCGAGGAAGACGGATACCGTTCCGCAAATCCATTGCCATTGCTGAAAAAAATGCGCTTGGGTAACATGATGGTTTTATAGCATAAAAGTTCTTATGATGCAACAGTAGCAAAATGTGTTTCCCTATTAAATCTGACATATATGAATAATACCTTTTATCAAGACCGTAACTATGAGATTTATTGCAACATAAAACAAAAATATTTCCAATGGTGGGCGTTGTTAATGACATTGCCCGACGATTGCATTTAGTTTACATGTTTTAAAATTGAACACGTGTCAGAATTGTAGTTATGTTGCGTGTTTGATTAGATAGGATCGTGATATTCATCCTATGCTGTGTTTCGTGCTATCAACGGAACTTTAAACCCTTAAATGCATCATTAATATAATATTGTTTGATACCACAGTGCAAAAATCATTTGATAACTCGAAAACCTGTTTTATAAAGGACATAAAAAATCATACCAGCCGATAACCAGAATCGCTACATCCGCATGTATTGGCCACAAATATAATTGCAGTGATGCAGGTTATCCATTTAATAACATTTTCAATTTCCAAAAAGTAAAACCATACTTTCCAGGAGAACATTTGTTTCATGTCGAGTATCTGTATAAATAAACCATTTTAAACAGTATATAAACTTTTGAATAATAATTATTATAGTGCACCGAACACAAGAACGGGGTTCAGATTTGCCCTTATCTGTTCGTCAGTTTCCATGATGTATCACATGTAGCAGTATAAAATCAATACAATTTACAGGAAAATTGATAAGCATGTGAAGCTTCGCACCTGGGGTTTTGGCGTGAGTTATTGAATATATTGCACTTTTCAACTTTTATTGTGCATCATAAACGTTTTTGACTAGGAGGCAAATAATCTTTCAGAAATGTTGATCTCAACATGTGAAGTTGTGCACCTTGTTGTTTGCTTGTAGATTTTTTAATTATTATCTGAAGAGTTATTGTCTTTGGCTTAATTAAAATTTGCAAGTGTCAACTTGTGTCGCGCGAAGGACCAATTTTATTTTTACAAATGTCGTGAAATTTAACGGGAATGTTGGTCGGCATGAAAAGCTCTCCACAGTGGGTTTGCATGTGGATTGTGGATTCATTCAGTATTGATAGGGAAATTCTCATTGACTAGGCTAAAGTTGGCAGTTTAAAATATGTGTCGCGCGTAAACCAAAAAGAATCTGACCTGAATTATTGAACTGTACAGACGAAATTGTGCACCTGGAAGGTTGTTAGTGGATTTATTCATTATTTATATAGATATTTTCATTGACCAGGTGAAAAAAATGCAATTTTTGCCTTTCGACCCCAAACTTGTTTCAACTAAATTAGTGAAATAGATGTGTTTATCAGCACGTGCAGCTATGCACCGGACGTGTGCGTGTACATTTATTAGGTATTTGTAGAGTACGCCTTAATGTTGGTCAGTTATGCATCTGGGTTTCTTGTAGACTTATTCAGTATTTTTAGAGGTTATGCCCTTGACTTTGTAAAATATTTGCATTTTCTATCTTCTTTCGCGTGAATTCCAACTGATATTTGATATAAATGAAGAAAATTAACAAAACAGTGAATAGATGGGTTTCCGCGTCTTATGGACATATTTCTATTGTATCGTTTGTTTTTAAACTGATGTTTATCTCCTTTAAAAAAAGGTTTCTACATACTTCATAATTTCATGTCTTTCATTTAATCCTTAGTGTCATAAAATTAAATTATAAGTATTGTATCGTATACAGTTGAATCTGATAAGAGTAAAATCTATTTTAGCATTATAGATCAAAATCTGGAAACAAAAGTGATCCCTCGGAAGCATAAGTTTTCTTACCTGAATGAGCAATATTATCGAAGCCAATGCCATGACTCCGTACTTCGCAAAAGATGCGAATACAGAAATACTCTCGTTTGTTAAATCTGAACAAACAGAAAATCTGTAAAATAATAATTATCTTGCAGGTGTACTGAAAATGAAGTTAAGACATCAAATTGTTAGATATGAAACTCTGACTGAAAGAGAAAAGATACAGCTTATTGTCTAGTTAAGCATTCCTGTTGTAAGAATTTTTTGTCGTTGGTGAGTTTGAAGATGGCACATATGATTTAATTGATCGTATGTTTTATTTATGTAATGCCAATGGATCATATGTGATTTATTACATATTAAGAGTATCTTTTTCTTCATTAAAAATTAATAAAATTCAATAACAAATTTATGTTTTAGTATATTGTATTATTAATATACTTTTTATATTAAATATTTGCAAAAACATACTTTTGAATATCTAATTTACTCCATATAAGTAATGAAACGTGAGTATGAATGGATGGACGTTTTTAACTAACGAGGCTAAATCGATTAGATTTGATCCAATAATTATTTCGATTGAGCAAATCCCGAAAGTGCATTGGTAACATTGCATAACTTGTGGAATAATTAAAATCATTGTATTATATTTTATGAAAGACTTTAATATGCGTTTGCTTTTAGCATGACACATTTCAGAATAATAAAAACGAATGAGTAATCATGTCATAACTATTTCACTACAGTGGCCAACGTACAATAAATACCTTGATCATTTGTTTAAAAACAGATTTGTAGTAACATTGTCTTTTAACTAAGGTTTTTTCTAACTCACAAAATTCATATTTTCAATTCGCATTTTGTGTTTAGCTCTCTTTTATTATTATATGAAACATAACAGTATTACTTACATTTTAAATGGTGCATCTTTTTCTAAAATTAAAATCACACACGAACATCAACATGCCTTATTTTTTAAACTTACCTCTGAAACTGATATGGGGCACGTACATCAAGCGTGAAGCCAGTAAGCAATGCAAGAAAAATTGCATACAGCAAAACAATTAGGATGTTTAAAACAAGACCGATGCTTATCCATTTCCTCTTAAGAAGGGCTGACACTAATGGGTGGTCTAACAATTCTATTCGTTTGAATGCGACCTGTAAATTTCAAACAAGTCTAAGCATCAGTATTTTAACAATATCAAAAAATTACACAACTTCTTCAGATATAAAATCATTAAAAAATGTACAACAAGAGTTCTTAAACCAATAAGAAGTGAAATTGCTTACCATAATCATTAGAGGGTGGTTTTCTTTGATAATGTTTGTTTTCTCGGTGTATGGTTTACCTATAAAAAATACCACTTTGAAATGGACATCACTTGAAATTAAACCGTTTTTTTCATGTGTTTTCATGTGCATAAATGTAAATGTATCAAAGTAATAATTTTAAACATTTTGGAATGATTTTAACGTAAGGATTTATTAAGCTATACACTATCGCATTATAAAGCCGATAAAATTAGTGTATTTAAATTTGTATGAGTGAAGCTTATCATCATTTAGCACTGGCTCTTAAGTTAAATAGTTTGATAGATGCTATACCCAAATGAACACAAAATATCATAACTGTATTCATTTCCTAGCAAGAAACCAAATTTTATATGTTTTTATGAAGTGGATTGAAAGTAATTAGTATTTAAAACATACTGCTCTGCCTCGTATCCGAATCTTTAGAATGTTTCTGGTCAACTTTCTTGTCAGCTAAGAAAGACACAAAAAATGGGGGCAATTATCATTTAGAGAAACGTGAAGTTATCCTTTTTAAATAAAGTGTATATTTATATTCTGTGTGAAGAAAATTATGTTTTACTTTTCAAAAACAAGACACCACTCAACATTTTAATATATTGACTGTATATACGTTCAGAATAATTTTGATGATATGCGGCCGTACACATCTTACCCGTTCGCTTAGTTTCGTATAGACCTTTTTTCAGTACGATTATTCCATAGCAACATATGTTGCATTTAGTGCCTGCGCATTCTGCGTACGACAAAAGCGCAGTAACTATAGCATACATTTAGCGCACTTAAAGTCTTTAAAAGGCGTGAATTCAAGTTATGTCATCCAGTACAAAAGAAATTTTGGCATGAATAAAAGCGGTAAGTACTTAAAACGTGAATTGATATTTAAAACAGATATACAAAATTAGCGGGCCTTATAATTCAACGACCAAAAGTCCTCTGTTCAAGGTATCGTTTGGTGACTTTTTCATCAGTAATTTAATACAAACAGCAGGGTGTTAAAAATCACATTTTATAACTTATGTTTTACAAAATATCATACAATTGGTATTCCTTTGAAAGTGGATTTGCAAGGCGGTTAGTGTCAAACAGACTGACACGTGACCGGTTGTTTTTTTGCCAGCTACTTAACAATATCATTCAACTGGGTCGTTTTAGTACCATGACGTAGTTAGTTACATAATATTATAAATATGATTAAACGTTATTTAAGTTTTTTTATTTATACCAATCTCATCAATGTTTATTGATTTTGTGAAGTGACAAATAGTGTACAAGACGTGCATTTCCATGTGTTACAAGAGACCGGAAAAAACGTGTGTTATTCCATCGCCCATTTTAACTTTACAAAAGTTTGAAAAATTAAAAATTATTTAAATATTTTCTGTGGCTAAAATTTCTGTTTGGCATCTCAGTCAAGTTGGATAAAGGATGAAATTAGCTAAACTGAAAACTTTAAATGCATTATATCACGTGTTCCAACTTTTTTCGGAATGATATTTAACCTCGATTTTCAATTTTAATACAATTTATATGAAAATGTAACATATTATATGTACAATCTACTCTTGTTATCTCGATGTCTCCGGGAACGTCCAAAAATGTAGAGATAACGTAATGTCGAGATAAATATATTAGGGTTTGAATAAGGCAGAAACTTATTTTTACAAAAGACACGTGCATACCTTATGTCAAATTAACTATGATATCCCCATGTCTTGTTTCCATAGGACTAGTCAATTTTAAGAAACATTAGAGGATTTTTTTACCTGCGGAAATACGGGTGTTTGAGATAAAAACACATAGGGAGGTTCACCCAGATATAAATCAATATATTGAAAACTTTGTTTTCAGGATGGTTGATCCCGATATCCTCCTGGGTTAGTTATCGGGTCTCGAGATTTTTTCGATCGCTGATTGGTGGTGATGTTGTGAAACAGTATTGCAACGATAGCGTTTCTATACTTTCACTCTTTCACTTACTTTTAAAGGGACTCCACTGAGGTTTTTTGACATGACGGGACTGGAAATATCTTTTTGAGATTATTACTCCATCTGATGTAGGTCTATACCAACAATTTATGTGCAAAATTTCAGATCATTAACTCGGTTCGTTTTTCCAGAATAATTGTTTTAATTGTCAAAAATGACCTAAAACTGAAATGCGTTTAAACGCTTTTCACTCAAATCGGACTGAGAATTACACAAATATACGAGTTTCAGTGTATTTCTAGGTATATTTCTTAATTATCTTTTGCATATATTTCCGTTTTAGGTGCCCCAGTTGATCTATGTGAGAAATTAAAATTTTATGGTTTTAGGCTTATGGACCTCAGTGGAGTTCCTTTAAAGTCATAATGAATTGATACTGTGTTCGAATTTATAACGGCCGTAAAATTAACTCATTTTGGACATAAGTCAATCAACACGTTAAATAGATCAACTTTTATTAAAACAGCTAAACTTGTTACAAAACAAAACCATCATTATGACACCCACTATAGAGCAATTATCGTCAAGTTTATGGTTTTCACACGTTTGAGTGGAACAGACGAAAGAAAACTATTAGTCGAGATAAACAAAAGATAAAAGTGTGAAAATAACAGTTGGGGCTGAAATTTCTCATCGAGATACTGAAAATATCGAAATAAAAATATCGAGATAAACAAATATTTCCAATATAGATAAAGAAGGAAGAAAATCGGGACTTTCAAAGTTTCATCGATATAACGAAATATCGAGAAAAGCGATGTCGAAATAACGATAGTTGACTGTAAAAAAAATATTTTTTTATATGGACGTATTAAACAACAATTAAATTGACTTCTTTTCTTTTTTTGCTTATATATATATATTTTCACATATTTTTGCAACAATAATTTCAACGTCAGTTTAGTGATCGTAAAGGGGGATTCTTAAACAATTGTCTTTTTCATGCCTTTTTGGGTAAATCTTGGCCACAAGGCTTTGAGGGCATCTTTGTGTTTCTGTTGTAAGCTATTTCATATTATTTTCTAATGTTTACTTTAAACAAACTCGGAATTGTCTATTAATTCTTTTTTTCTTCATTTCTATGTAAAGCATGGCTTCTTTTTGCCCTACGCAAATTGCGCATGCGCGAAAAATACTATTTTCAGTCATTTTTTCATAGAACGGACCGCGTGGTAAAAGGTTCTATAAACTAATTGAAAAAATGAACAACTTAAAATTGTGAATTATATAAGTATAACAAACATTACAATAAAAGACTGTCTTTTGATGAACGAAAAATCCTGACAGCCATCAGCAAGCTGTAAATACCGAAAGATATAATGAAGAAGTGATACGATGCGAGCGCATCCTTAAAATCCTGATAATGAGAACACTTTATTAACCGGCATTTTGGAGAGAATAGTCAAGACAAAAACTTCCTGCGTATTCCTTGCGTTGAAATTGTGAAAATATCGATAAAAACTAATTTTCAGATTATTGGAAGTTAAATCATTTTAGTATCTATTTCAAAAATACATTTTCAACCTTTGTTCATTTTCATTTGTACAAAAATGTTTTAAAACGCACTATTTACAGAAATTCTTATTATAAATGTTTGTTCCTTTAAAAATTGTAAACCCGTACTGTTAAAAACTTGACATCCTACAAAAGACCGGAGTTTAATTTTTTTAACATTTTCTAATCATTTATTTAAAACTCTATCCTAATTATATATTTTTGTACTCTGCATTTTAAAATAAACTACCTTCTGAAGTCAAATTAATGTCTCATGAGAAGTTAACATCTTATTGGAAATGAAGGTTTTCCTTTTTCTTGTGCATTCTTCTCCATCGAATCATCACCATCTCTCAGACAACATGAAGGACTACATCGGCAAGATAGCCCTTGCAAATATTACCTATATAGGAAAGTGGCTTTCTCAGAGTATTATTACATAACATGTACGAAGCGTCATACCTCTGAATGCATATATGAATGTCATTGTGGAAAAGTGTTGTGAAAAATCGTTCAAGGCTTCACATGATTGTAAAAAACAAAAACATTGTCAACAACAAAAACAAACAAAACATACAAAAACATAGGAATTAGAATGTGACAAATCAGTTTCTGTCCATATTCAGTCTTTTCACTGTATTTGTAAATAAAACTATTCAGTAATGTTAAACATCTCATACAACACATAAAATAAAATAAACTAAAATTTTGCGGGACATTAACACCTACTAAAGAAATAACAATTAAAAATGTTCTAGCTTTTTGACAAAAAAAATATTAAAATATTAAGAATTAAGATCAACAAGGCAAAGGCAACGTTCACAATTCAATTTTCCATTGAAATAAATGCATTTGCCAGAAGATCAGGAACGAAAATAAAAAAAAAATGCATTTGCCAGAAGATCAGGAACGAAAATATAATTATGATGATATATTATTGTGTTAACTGCTTGTTATTATAAATCTTATTTTTTATCTTACTTTAATACATAAATGATACATTGAATGTCTCTGTTCAGCTCTTTCTTTGTTCATGTTGTGTTTCAAATAATGAATAGTTTTGAACGATTTTCCACAATGACACTCATATATTTGTGTGTGTTTTGTGACAATACTCAGAAAAGGCCCTTTGACTACATAGTTCCTTAGGGTACATGATGTCAATATCGTCCCTCATGTTGTCTGGGTGATGAATTTAACACCATATTAGCGTACATTCATTTCTTAATAAAGTAAATGAAAAATATAAAATTCGATTTTTTTTATTTTTCTTTCCAAGATGTACATTTTATACATTTCCAAGGATAAAAAAAAGATTTTTTTTTTCAGTCAGCTCGTATTGCCATCATTAAGCACAGACTGCCTCTAGTATACACAATTTTATCCGCATTATCTAGATTTGTTTTTAAGTGTGTAAGCAGAATCTCAATTTTAATTTACTGTAAATAGAGCGATTTAAGAAATTTCTATGAAAACGAGACACAGCGAAGACTTGAAATACACTTTTAAAATACATTCTACTGTGAAATAACTTCCAGTCGTCTTAAACTTTTAATAAATCGATATTTTCTCAATTGCAGTTACATGTCGCGGCCGGGGGTACGCATTATCAAGAACCCAATCGCATTCAACACAAAATATACTGACAAGAAAGGGAAAAGTTGTTACAAAGCATTTGTTATATTCAAACTAGAAGTAGGGACATCTTCTTTACAAAGGATATTGAATTCAAATCTTCTCCACGATTTCCTTCAAAATACCTGTTGATAAAGCATTATTATTATCAGAACATTGAGGATGCGATAAATTAAAACCGATAAACTTCGGCGTAACATAATGACTGGTTAGTGTCAGGTTTGACTCCGTTAAACTGTATTGTTAACTAGACATTGTAAGATACATACTGCTCTGTTTCGTTTCCGAATCTTTGGAATGCTTTGAGTCTTCGTTTTTGCTAGCTGAATTAGACATAAATAAATGGTTGTAATTTTTATTTCTTTTGTAATTTGTATTTCATTTTATTTGAATTACATGATATTTCACTTCACTTTTAATATCAACACAAAACTTAACATTTACACATTCACAAATGTATTTTAGAAACTTTGTTTCTATACGTCTGAAAGAGTTTTGTTGATAAGCGCCTGGTCTCTCATCTGTAAGCAATTTCCTGTCCACTTCGTAAAATTAAAATAATAAGCAAAACGTTTACCAAAGTCTTTGGTGATTTAATTCCATGCATATACCTTCCACATATAGAAGATATCTTAAAATAAATGAAGTAATTAGGATAAATTTAATATAAATCTCACTTGCTGGAATAGGTCAACCCTTTAAGGCCCTATTTTCAAAATGATAAAAAGGGAAATAACTGCTTAATATGGATTGCATACCTATATAACTTAACAACAATGTGTACTTCAAGTAGTGATAAGTACGTTGGGAAATTATGAAGCCATTTGTAAAAAACTTAAAATATATCCTACTTGTCGGTTAAGTTAACCATATACATATTAGATATGTTGGAAAGGGCAATAAATTGGAAGCAATGGAAGCTTTAGTTCTGTTAGTTTCCCATTGATTATGGACTTTGTACTGATAATCAAGTGTTTATAATTTATAGCATATAAATATTTCAACTTTACATTGGAAATTTTTATAAGGATTTTTGTTATATGATTTGGTCTACTAGATTGTGTTTTGTGTTATTAAAACTTACTTAACTCAATGGCAGTAGCTATTTTTTTCAAAAAAAATGTTTTCTATTCTTAATTGCTGGATGTAAGTTGTGTTTAAACTATTTTGAAATAAATCGGTTCCAATCATTCTTTGTAAATGTCTCTCTACCATCAATAGATATTTTCGACAAATGCCATATTTAATTGTTAATGACAATTTTCAAGTGATCATTTTCAATCCTTCATATATACAATCTTGCAAAATACTATTCATTTTCATTTTAATTTCATCTTATTTTGAGTGTCATGCAAATTCAAAACAGTTTTGTGCGATTGTCTTAATATATATTTTTGTCTGGATGACCCGGGAAGACAAATCTTAATAAGGTCGTTTCTAATAATTATAAAAGGCATTTTAGACCGAACATGTTGCCAGATATTTTCCTCGTCATCAACTAATGTCTGCTGTATATTGATTTAATTTATTTGCATAATTTAGTTTAACTAGTAAAACATATTTTAAATACAACGGTTTGCCTAATTGTTAAGAACATTATGATGTCCAAACTATTTTTATATATTTTTTCAGATCATGTTGATCCTTAACTAAGCCTATAATGAGAATTGTACATCAATTATAATAAAGTTTAAATCACTGAAATTATTATACATCGGCCGAAGAAAAAGAAGTTAAACTTAGAAAAAAAATAATTACGATAAAAATGAATTTTTGTAACAGTCTCAAGAAAGCACTCAAATGTTCAATATTTTTGCTACACATAATATGCATGTGACTAGGTCCATAACATTTAAACAGACATATGTATGTTCTAATGGAAAATACGATGTAAATAACAAACATATTTTTGAAGTTAGAATTAAATCCCTAAAACATAAAGAAGTTACAGAAAAAAAGAAATTTTAAAGGGAAAATAATTTGAAAATTAATTTGGAAAATGTTGACGCTTATATTAAGAACATTTCATCATTATATGAAAGACGATATGAAATAAAAAATAAAGAGATGAGAGCAATAAAAAGGTCAATAGGGGAAATATTTCTTCAACAAAGTCATGCTAGAGTTTCGAATCTTGCAGTGTGGGTGATAATAAGAATCTGAATTTTCATGTAATTTTGCAGATTTTTTTGCTTCAGAAAGATCACCTTTTCCAGATTTTGAGGTATATAACTTAAGAAACTAAAAAGTTAGGGTAACAAATAAAATAACTCTTCTGTTCAGTGTTCAAGGAGGTAATTCTGAAAAACATGTGTGCTAGAGGTATACATCTTGTCACACACCATGCTGTTGATGATAAGAAACATATATTTCTTAATTATGTAAAGTTTGAGGTAGTTACCTTCAGAAGTAAAAAAGTTACTATATTAATAACATTTTTGAAGGAAACATCAAAGTCCAAGGAGGGATAATTCTGAAAAAAAAATAAACAAAATATGTGCTAGAGATATGACTCTTGTCACAATCATGTGGGTGGTGATAAGTAACTTGATTTAAAGTTTGGAGTAGGTACCTTAAGACATAAACTAGTTTATAGCAAAAAATCTAATCTAATGGTGAGATACTTGTGAAAATATTGTTCCTAGAATTAAAAACATTGTCACATATGAAGTGGTTGATCATAGGAAACATATATTTCAAGTTGATCTCTTGAAAAATAAAGAAGTAACTTAAAGATTAAAAATGATGTATTTAAAGAAAATTCTAAGATGAAAGAGAGATTGTTCAGAAAATATGACTTCTTAAGTCATGAACATTGATGTGGTTGATGATAAGGAACATATATTTGATGTTTGAAGTTGATAGCTTAAACAATAGAATATTTCTCTGCTAAAAACTTTAATCTGAAATCTAGCGCGGATTCCATATACTTCGTACAGTCAGCTGAAAATGATTAGATATAAACGTGATTTCTTCAAAGCTGTTTATTGTACCATTTAGTAAAAAAGTTACATTGTTTTAAAACATGCAAATTTTAATTTTTTTTATTAAATTTTTAAATTTGTTCACTTTTTTTGTCTTTAAGCTGTTGAGAAAAATTCAATTTTTAGTTCTTTTTTCTAGCCTTTTCTAGTTGCGTGGTTGCACTGTAACTTCTTCAATAATTTTGAATCGCCCTTAGGAAATGTTGCCTGCCATTTAAATTTGTCAAATTCTACATTTTGTATTATAAAAAAAATAATAATATAATCATCATATTATATTTCTGAATTAAAAAGATCGTGCTTTGCTATAAATATATGTGATGGTTTGTGAAAATAGTAAATAAATGGATATAATCTAGCAGAGGCATATACCTTTAGTATTATTTTATTTGTGTTCAGACATCGTATTTTGATAATGAACAATTTATATTTAGATTATAGCTCTAGCTATAAAAGGTAGAAATTTGTAACCTACAACAGGATCCGTAGGTATCAGCTGGTAACAGATGCACCGTTTTGGAAAGTATATGGCCAAAGAGAACGCCCTTTTATTTATTTTAATAAAACTTACTAACTTAACTGGAAAAAAATTTGTGAAAATAACAGGTTTTTTTCACATCGTTGACATTACGACCGTTGTTGTCTGCTTTTTAACTTTGTATTTTGACGTCATATATGATATGCAGGCTTCATAACCTCTGATCTGATTTCAAAATTCCATTTGTTTAGGTCCGCCTATTGTTTTCTCTTTTCGGGACCACGCTTACTATTACTTCGGGACCATACGCCGCTTTTCATTGAATAGCACGGCAGATAACCGCCGTATGAAAACATCTGCGGATGTTTCTTAAATTCAAAGGTTCAATCAAACCGAACCTGCAACATTTGCAATATTGATGTTTTGGACTTTTTTATGGATTCTTATCTTCTCTTTTTCAATAATAGCTTGAAAACAAAACTTTCTCATAATTTAAAATAACTTCGTTTTACTTTGACAGGGAATTTTTTTGTTGATATTTATCCTACCTTGTTTACTTGGAGTTATGTGTTTTCTCCAAGTTCCAAGCTGGTAAGTGTCATCAAGAAATTCATAATTGAATGTTACTTCAAATTGCTTGCTGCTCGCCTTCGACATTTTTGTGCAATGATTGAATACTTCCATGGCTGCCTCTTAAACGTGATATAAAAATACGTCCACATGTATATACATTAGAAAGATTGCCTCAATGACATAACTTCTTCAGGGCTAAATGTTTCGTTCAACTTTCAAGTTTTATTAAATGGTAAAATCCCCTTGTTTTAAAACTAACGTATTAACATTACCATAACTACTTTAGTAATGTTCAGACAGAATATTCGCATGTCTGGATGACGATTACACAAAGTTTCGCAAAGTGTTTTTTTTTCAAGCAGCCATAGTAAACAAACCTATGCTACGTATTATAAATCAAATGATTTAAATGTACATTGCATAAACGAAAATGTTTTACTTGGAAGGTTTTGATTTTCTAGTCATTTTTTGTCTTCCTCAGTCTACTAATTGGTGAATAAGGGTCTCAAGAACGACTGTATAATCAAAATTTACCTCTTTTGAATATTTGTGGTTAAATATTAACATCGAAATTAAAACATACATAATGCAAGCAATAGACAGAAAATATAAAGTAAGTTTTCAACATACCAGGCATTTGTCTGATTAGCTTTCTCATTGGTGTGTCATGAAACTCATCCGAGTCATTTAATTTTGATCTTGATCGCAGCATTTTTGTCCATTTGGAGTTCTCAAGTTGAAATATCCTAAGAACTGTTTCCCTGAAAATTGCCGTATGTTGATCAAAATGTTAAGACCATTTATAAGGTTCGTGATTTGCAACACTTAAGTTGTTCACATTATTTTAAAAGACATACATTACTTGTTTGATACACGATGGTGTCAATAACAGCTTGATGAAGTAAAATTCAAACAATAGTTTAAAGCAACTTTTTATGTTATATTATATTTGGAACTACTTCCAAATTGTAATGCTCAAATGGGAAAAATAATTCATGATAATGCAAGGTCAACACTTACACGTGGTTATTATCAATCGCTAGATCTAAACAATTTATTGCTGGTTTATCAAGATCAATCTTTTTTGAACTTGCGAGCTTATAGAAAACTTCCGTTTGACCTTTTTGCGCAGCAAAATGGATAGGTCCCATCTAATTCAAACAGAAATAAGATTGAAATATTCAGAAAAAAACGAATTATTCCTCTGAATAATATAGTAATAATAATATAGTTTGCATATTCAGAACAGAAGAATTAATTTCAAAACTTAAATGCCTCTATATATTCTCAAAGAAATTCAAACTAGAACTTAAGTTTTGTAGAATAAGCAGAATACTGGTAGTGGTAGCACTGTATACATTGATATGCACAAAACATGAAAAAAAGAAATTAATTACGATTCCAATAGTGTGAAATTCTGATATGTAAATTCTTCCTTGTATTCTTCCTTGTAAACACGCCCTTTGTTATATCTACATCAAACCTTGAACAAACGTCAATCTTACATGCGCCGCTGATTTTTCATCAGAACGGTTAAACCAAAATCGGTCAAATGAAAAGAAATTTGTTTGTGAATAATAGGGTGTGTCGGATCAAAACATTTTCGGACGAAATTTTCTCAATACGTATTTGAATTCTTTTTTATTTATATATGAATAAGTCAGAATGGTATTTAAGAAATGGTATGCAAATATGCTTGCAATTATTTTTGGGATAGTGCAGATGAACTAAATAGTGCGCTTACGATGAAAAAGTTTGATTTTTACACTATTGAATTTGATGATTATTCATAATAATTTCTTTTTATCATACCATCAACAATCTATTTAAAAAAATATAACATCTTATCTTGTGTTTTATCCGCGTCATTGTATTAATATCATATCCTGCATGTGATGTGAACGTAGCCGCTAGTCGATGCTGTCATTATTCTGTGATATTTTTATTGTACTATACCCGTACAAATTAATTTTTGAGAAAAAATCTAATAAATAAAGCGCAAACCAAAATATGCGTGTGAAGGCTATTCAGTTATATCAGACAAGTGATAGTACCATGTGACATAACAGATCGTTACCCTTTAAAATCAGCTCTGAAGTCCAAATAGTAAATAAATCACGTGAGGTGTGATAAAAACATTTGTCACATAATACTTGCAAAAATGACCATTATCATACGTAAATAATAAATGATAAAAATATAACATGTTAATTTATTTCATCATTAAAATGGTGTTAGCATCAAATATTTTCTCAAACAAGCTCTTGTAAGCTTTCTTTGCGAAAAGGAAAATGATTAAGATATGCGACTACCTTATTGTTATCTTCCAAATTTATATCAGCGCCACTTTCTACCAGCTTTATTGCGCATTCTAACATTCCATTTTCGGCTGCATAACTTAATGGTGTTCTGCCATTTTTGTCTCTTAAAAATATACTGAATTGTTCTTAACTGTTTAATGGAAAATCACGCATAAATATCACATATATAAACAGTTGTATATAGACGAAATTAATCATTACCCTATATAGCGAATAATTCCACAAAAGTTGTGTATCTCTTTCTCTTGAAAGCATGGTTATTCAAAATTATTTTTTTGATTGGATTGATTAAGTCATCCAAACTGCAATCTTTGTTTGTAAGTGACAACAGCTCATTCAGTAATCTTGAAAGGCACTGAGAGATTATTACGTCATTTTGCACATACCCTCATTCACTCGCCATTATGGAAAAATAAGCCTAACTACTAGTATGTGCTGGTCCGATATATGGAAGCATTATGTTGTTATTAATTAATTTACTTACTTGGTGTTTATTTTTGCACCTTCATCTAAAAGGATCTCAACGACTTTGACATGTTTGATTGCGTCGTGGAGTGCTGTACGTTTTGATTTGTCATTCATATACATCAGCTTCGGTTCCTCCTCAATCAAACGTTCTACAACCCTTTGTAATACAAAAATGACATGAAATCGCTAAATATGACAAAATTGACATTATTTTAAATATGAAATCAACCCATCAACTCAATACTTTAATGCAAATAAAAGTGATATAAAATATAAATTGACAAAATGGTTTTATTTATTTTGTTAAATCAAAACACGCCATAATACACAAAATGCTAAAACTTGATAAGTGCTTGTGAAAAAACGCAATAAGGATTATAAAAGCGAAGAAAACACAAAAAACAAATGTTTACAACAAGCACTTGGTTGAAAAGTGATGAAAAGTAACAGTTACCTTATTCTTCCTTTTGCAGCTGCAAGATGCAATGCTGTCTTTCCATTTTCGCATTTTGTACATAAATCAGATGTTTTCTTTATTAAAATCTAAAACAACATTTCATTTAGTGTATCGTACCTTGTCACAATTTTTTTTATAAAGATCCATTTATTAATACATGTACCTGTTTTAACATTTTATTAATAATATGTCTTTACATAACGGTTATCAACTGATCCTATCTTTACTCGCTGTCGTATAGAATCTAGTGCGTACCTTATTCTTGATTTGATCATTATCTTCTATCAAACTGCCTTTTTTTCTTATTCATTCATAACAATGCTTTCGTTTAGTAAGAAAATGGTTTTAATTAATTTTGTTTTTTTACTCTTTTTTTTCACAACTGTATCTTATAGCAATATTGTTTGATACATTGTCTAATTGTCTAATTAAAAAGGTTAAGATTATTACCTACAGCTTAAAATAAATCAATAGTTTTTTTTTCAATCAATTCAAATGTTTAATGTATTGTTGTCTCATTTTCATTGCTGTATATAATATAACAAGATTTTCTCAACAAATTTAAAACGAAAAATATACAATGTAATTTTTTATTGAGTTTCTTCTTAATATTCCATATTTCCATATTACTATGTCCTTTTTACACACATTGATATTAACCCAGAAAAATGAATTTAGATGCTTTTTTACCTTATTGTTTTAAATCTATTTTGGAAATTTAAATCACAATTATTGTTTTGATATTATCTTTTTAATTTTCTTAATAAATGAAAGTAAACTGTACCTTTACTTTTTAAATCATTCTACAACAACATCTGTACATTCATTTGATGATTAATGCACATTAATCTTATTTTATCTTTATTTTTAAAGGCACACTAGATAAAAAGAGAGGAGTATATAACGGCATGATGTATCAGTACTTTTGTTTGACAATTTTGCAAAACAAATGTTGCTTTTTTAACACTGTGTAAATTTTGCATACAGGTAATCTCTAAGACATATAGGTGACCTACCTTGCCAATTTTACAGGTCCATATAGTGCCCTGGGGTTCTTTCGCTTGATAAATTTGATCCGATTATTGGATGACAATGAATACAATGAATAACATAACATGACAGAAATATAAACAAGAAAAAATAACATTTACCAAGTGCATTCTCTAAAATTACCAAGCCATGGTAACCTAGGGAAAGTGTCCCGAATTGCACCATTCCCGCATTGCACCATTTTAGTTTGCGCAGAATTCATTAAAAAAGAGCATTGTTAAAATTTAAACACGGCTTATATCTATTATTTACATGTTGATAAAATTATAATTTCATTCATAAACGATTTAAAAAATGAAAACGTACATTTAAACATTCCAAGTACCCCTTTTCCGCAGCTACATGAAGAGGTTCTTTTTTATTTTTCGTTTCTTTAGATGTATCACCGGTAGTCTGAAAAACAATAATAAAAGTACGAAAGTAAAACTCATTTAGAGGAAACATTTCGATATCAAATCATGTCTTACAATCTAGCTCCACTCACTCATTATTTTTATTATTATATTAAAACTAAGCTAATATTTATTTTAACACTCATTGTTAAATGAAATTTAACAAGGGAGTATTATTACTCTAATGTGAATCGGGTATATATATATATACCCGATTCACATTAGAGTAATAATACTCCCTTGTTAACTTTCATTTAACAATGAGCGTTAAAATAAATTGTATATATATATACCCGATTCACATTAGAGTAATAATACTCCCTTGTTAAATTTCATTTAACAATGAGCGTTAAAATAAATTGTATATATATATACCCGATTCACATTAGAGTAATAATACTCCCTTGTTAAATTTCATTTAACAATGAGCGTTAAAATAAATTGTATATATATATACCCGATTCACATTAGAGTAATAATACTCCCTTGTTAATTTTCATTTAACAATGAGCGTAAAAAAAAAAATTAGCTTAGTTTTAATATTATAATAAAAATAATGAGTGAGTGGAGCTAGATATATATATAAGACGAATAAGATTTGTATCAATGCTCGAATGCAACATACCGTTTTTGATGCAGTATGACATATTGTAAATATATCAAAGCTGGCCATGAAGCAAAACAGTTATGAATTGTATAAATCGTTAGTTCATCAATCTGTACATATCTCGTTATAGATATAATTATGTACAGTAGGGCGAACGTTTCATTTTAGACGCAAAACGCACGCTCTGGAAAAAACGCACGCACGTTACACGCTATACGCGAACGCTATAGAATAATGGGAATATTGTTAAGGTTGGCTTAGCTTGTATATTGTGATTACATGTCTAACTTTGGGACAAATTTACTTAATGAATTTATTTATGTCTTATTTATATTATGGAGGGACACTGGTGTCAATATTCAGTTCTAGAACAGAATCAATCCCACTACAGACTTTAAATAGAGTATATGTTTCCTTGCACTCTTGAAATAGTTCACTAAATTTTATTGTGGGTGAGTTGGTAATGGGACATTTCAGACAATAGACATTTCTTACCAGACACATAAAACCAGATTTTGGGACACTTCAGAAAAGCTTTCGGGACCTTTCGAACCGGATTTTTGGACACTTTGGCGCATACATTGGACACTTTGGACCCATCGTTTAGACACTTTTAAACTTTCTATGGGATGTATCGGACCAGTTTTAAATATCAATTTTTGTTATATTTATGTATAACATTATTTTTTACGAAGACATGGAAAAACAACAAAGTGCCATCGGCGCCGGTCAAAATACAACCAAACTACTTAGTCGCTTTTTAGAGTTTTCGTCTGGTGCCTACCAAAGCAAAAGTACAACATGGCACAAATCAGCCACCGTAGAATTTATTATGTACTATTTTATTTGTACAAAAATATAGAAATGGTACAATGTATTAGTTAAGCTTTAACTATACAAGTATAAATAATGGAACTATCAATAAACGTCTCATCCAATTTCAGTAAAAAATATATATAATAATACTCCTAATATAATTGTAAATTTTGTCAAAAGAATGTGTGCATGTTTATTGTTGTTTTTTTTTTCAATGCATGTTGATTGAGAATTAACTTGTTTTTTTAAAGCTATCTAACCGTATCTGTCATGGGTAAGAGGTGTTCACTTTTAAGCACACAAAAGGTGAAAGCGGCCGGACAGCTCAGTCGGTAGAGACGCGGTACGGTAATCTGAGGGTCATGAGTTCGGGTCCCTTTGACTGCCAAAAGGCCCAAAGTCTAATTCACATTACTCTGTAACCCTAGGAAATTCAAGAAAATATTTGCATATATAGCAGGAAAGTATTTTACAGTTTAGAACTGTTTAGTATTTAGGGGAATAAAAGTGTAGCGGCCGAATACCTCAGCGGGAAGAGCCGCGGAATGGCAAATGTGTGTCAGGGTTTCGAGTCCCTGCCAGGTTGTTACATATCAATAAAAATCTGTAAATCAGAAAAATAAATACGAAAAATGGTAAGGAATTGTCTCAAATTAAAAATCATCCTAAATAAGGACGGTCTGTGTAAAAATGTTAGAAGATAAACTGGTAAAAGGGGAGGAGCGGACATGTCTGATTACCATCATATAATGCCTAATGAACATTATATCGGATATATTGGTACGCATATAGACACATTTTTGCTGAATTGAATATCAAACATGTTGCAATTAAATAATGATTAAATCCTAAGCGTATGTAAAAAAGGATTTAAACTAACTTCGGCGTTAAGCACGTCGGGATTCGGTATTCACCATGAGGTCACGAACTTTTAAAAATGAAAATATCATAATTAATAATATTTCTCTACATAATATTTTTATTCTTCGAAAGAGACACTGAACATCTTAAAGGAACCCTAAATTTACAAAACAGATATGTTTAGGATAAAGTTCTGAAAAGTAACAGACACAAAACACGGTACTTAAACGTTTAGACGAACGCAGGCGCACGCTAAACGTTTCTGGGGATATCAAACGCACGCTTTCAAACGCACGATAAACGAAAAACGATACACGATAACCGATTAACGTTAAACGCTTGTAAACGATGCATGCTATTTTTGACAACCGAAACGTTCACCCTACTGTAACTAACAGCCTTTAAATATTATTCAAAAAGCAGTCAAAGATTGCAAATGTCTCTTTGAAAGAGGATAATCAATTAGTACTATATAATCATTTTTAAATGCACACCAATGTGCAAAAATGTAGAAAGCCGGGAAGTCAGAGCTACTTACAAATGAAGTTTACACACTTTTAGCTATAACCCAGAAAGTTAAGCAAAGGTCAATTGATTAACGGAGCATCGCATAGGTGTGGCAATATAAGCCCGGATGCAAATTTGTTTAAAATAACCAAAAAGTTATTTAAAAATAGGGGACCCATTTATTTCATTTGTCACAACACGTTTTATATCAATTTTTGGTATTAAAATCTGTATTAATACATGCAAAAGACCAACGCTCAAGGCACATGAATTCTAATAAGAATTATGTATGCTAAAGTTTACGCTGTCGAGTCCACATCAGACATGTCACCAGTCATGTCCATAGAGGCAGATTGGTGATTATTTACCTTCATGCTATTGACACTGAATACGTTTGCTGACTGAAAACAACAATAATGTTGGGTTCTAAATTATAATAGAATGTTTTAAGAAACTTAAAATTGATATAAAACCAGAAATTCAAAAGCACAAACTATCAAACCTAAAATAATTAAAACAAAACAACGAAATACCTGTCTTTGAATTGAAAACATCATTACTCACACAAAAATCCATCTTTTTGATACAAAACTGGTGATTTAACTTTTATAAAGTGAACCAAGCGATGGTAGATGGTAAATATCTATTCTCTGCACGTTGTAAGTGAGAGGAAAACACTTTAAACATGTATACTTTATAAATATGTGTACAAGTACATTGTGCGAAACCTACACTAACCCTACCCACTCACTGGGTACAGACATTTTTTAAATATAAGTGTATAACTTTGTTTTAAAATACATAGTTACATTAAAGTAAGTTTTCATATCTATGTGACTCCTGGGACAGGGCCAACATTGACCAAATGAGTTTGATTTATATAACTTTTGTCAAGTGTCAACAATACAATGATTAATGCAGAATCTAAGCTTAAAAATATATTATTTTTTGGCATATTAATGTGTGTTCTTATGACCTCCCTCCATTTATAGCTTATAACATTCAGCCATAAAAATGCAATGATGTTAATGAGTTTCTTTTTAATATACTCTATTTTCAAATTACTTCGTCCTTTTATACAACACATCGATATTGTCCCAGAAAAATAGATTTATATGCTTTTTTATATTATTGTTTTAAATCTACATGTATTTTAGAAATATAAATCACATTTATATCTTAATAAATAAAGGTAAACTGTACCTTTACCTTTATGTGTCCTTGCTTGTTTAAGAGTCATTTTATACTGTGGTGATTCTACCATTGTATTTGCCTTATATTTCTGATAATTAATTAACATATCTTTAAATGTTATTTGCGGTAAAATATCTACTCATTATTCGTGTGTTCTTTTGAATAATTCTATAACAACAGCCTTACATTCATTTAATGATTAATGTATATTAATCTTATTTTATTTAATTGTTAGAAAAGAGCACACTAGATTAATAGAGAGGATTGGATTTAGCCATAAAAAATGTAACGATGTCATGGGATTATCTCTCTGCAATTTATCATATTGGTTGTTGTTCCTTGAACATATGTTTTAAGTGTATATAACAACAGGTGCAGTATAAAGAACCTTTATATTAGCCGTCTAACCTATATGAGTCTGTCAATAAACAGAGGTTACAGCTGCCGGTACTTAAGACATCTTCATCCTTTTCCTTAGTTTTCATAAATAGTCTGATCAGGTTTTACGTCGCACCGACTCTGTACCGGTCAAATGGTGACTTTCCAGCTTTAATGGTAGATTGAGACCTAAGGTGATCTGTGCATTATTTCAGGCACGAACGGGTACTTGAGTAGAACCTCCGACGTTGCGTAAGTTACTTTGATACCTTCCTCACAAGAAAGAATCCAAAGTCGCTGTTGGGATTCGAACCCACAGCGGTGAGGGGTAAGTTAATTTGTAAACTAATATTCTTTTTTGTGTAATATTCTATTAAATCCCTCCAAAAAAGTTGCGTGTAAGAACATTGCCGAAAGAGGTGTTCAATAGATTCAAAATTCACAAAAATCACAAAGACCCGACTAAGAAAGGTTTTGTTGTAGAAGACTTTTGTTTGTAGCAATTATTCTGTGTAGATATTTATATTGAAAATGTCTAAACTTAGTGTCAATCGTTGTTGATGTAATGTTTTTGTATGTATTTTCCCAACATAAATTTTTGTTTTCAAAGATATTTTCCCACTTATTTTCTGCAGTATTTTTGATAATGTTGAATTTTTTTAACTGATGTTTATAAAGAAAAATATTGGTTCCATTTGTTTTAATACATGACGACAAAA